CGACAAAATGAAAAACATTGGCAGCTCCGGCGATGGCGGAAGGAAACGTAAGGTCTAAATAACATGGAAGTGTACGGAAGAAAAATAGGAGCTAGTAAAAAGAATAAAAATTCAAGGCCTTTTAGGATTGCCCGACGATGTAAAGATTGTCATGCTTAATGTAGTAGCTTGCAGTGTTCGACCAACATGGTCAACGATAACAATAAAAAGCTCGAAATCGCCAAGTCACCCTACGGACAAATAAAACAACTTCTAAAATCCTACTTCATTGTAATGTCAAGTACATATGTTTCGTAAAACAGGTGTTCCACGATATAGAAGTTGACGAAGCTTCGTCTTTTCGGTATTGACAAGTAGACGTATTTCCGGTGCGATAACGCCAGCAATGGCGGAAGAGAAATCTCTTACTAAAGCATTCTTGGGCAAGCATCAAATCCTTGAAATTTTATCAGGATGACGACCGAGGGAAGCATTGGATGGAAGATTATATATATATATATATAATACCTCACTTGGTGCTAAGAAGTTGCGTTTACTTTAAAGTTACAGCCGAAACTTGCCTGTGAGTCATGCATATCAGGTTTTGTCAGTGAAAAAACTTTTTTTGGAGCACTTGAACTAAGCGTTTGTGACAGCACCATATCACACATAAGCAGATTATAATTTCAGTAATAATAATAATGAAAAAAATGTCATATTGCACAAGATGTTCTGAATTTCGGCGGCCTTTTTCAAATACAATTATACAATATCAATTCAGCTTATTCTTATTTTGACCGTTGGAAGCAACTTCATCGCTATAACGTTTTTGAGATAAAATAAGGCAACATAGGTGTATACTAGCGCCTCCCTGGCCTTGCCATCCTCGTAATGAAAATACCGTTCAATTAATAAATTGTATGTCCAACAACGAAGAGCTCCTCTAGTTACTGAAGTAGTCTAGCAATATATATATATATAATGTTATTTACTTACAACAATTAAACGCGGGTACCGAATCGAAATGTTTAAAGCAAAAGAGACAAATTATCTACTCAAAGCATGCATCGTCTCAAATAGCCTTTCGTATATCAAATAATAATAATATGCTAAAAGCAGACGCTGAGAAAAAACTAGGCAAGTGGCTCACGAACCTTTTAATGACACCTCGTTCCGTGTTGGAGGGAAATCGTATGAAGCCATCCCAGCTGCAGTAGCAAACGATTTATCTAAATTCATCAATCACGTAATTCTAGACAGGCATCCAATAGGTACAAATTAAATGAAGTAGGCACCAGGTCCATAGTTCTACGACAGCCCTCAAGAAACTTCACTCAAACTTTGAATGCCATCACTTACACAAGTCATATCAGATCACCATATCGTTCTCAACTTAGCTATAACTATTTATAGAAATTTATAAGCACACTCCTTCTAGCTTAAAACCGACCAGTACTAAGTTTCATTAAATCATCGAATACCAAAAAGAAATAGCTGCGAGTCGACAATAGGAAACCTATATGTGCGCCTACTTAGCCTAACCTACATTATTCTAGCTAGTAAAAAAATTTCGCGTAAATCGCATCTCTTTTTTGTGTGAGTGTTTTTCTGTTTGTTACCGCTTTGTTAACCGCTTTATGAATTTCGTCCCTGTATTCACCAAAGAACTCTTTCAATTCTAGCTGTTGTCCGAAAGGTCACTTGGTCCAGGAATCATATTGAAAGTGTCTTATTCGACAGCTGGCCATTTAGCCGAGTCAACAAGGTGTCCGTATATTGTATGCAACATATATGCGCTGTCCTTTAAAGTAAAATACTTTTTTTATCCTGAAATAATTACGTCCATGATTTTATTTGTACTTATCTGAGTTTTCCTCAAGTTAGCCAGCAACGCTCATGAGAAACTCCTATTCGTCATAGGATACCACTATCTTCGCCTTGGTGACCCGGTAAGATTGGCTGGCCGTGCAGTCTCGTCTAGCATTTGCTGCGTTATCACAGTTGAGTCTTAATCTAATCTACGTTGGCATCATCATGGCCTTGACGACTGCTGCGGGCTGTTGTCATCGTCTCATTTTTTATGGAATCCCCCCTGGCTTTTACAATGCGACGAATGTTTATGTGAGGCTACGATGTAAAAATTACATACTAATTTGTCAATATATCAACTGGACAGGTTACGCTTAGTAGGTACAGGTAATCCTGTAGTTAAGGTAGACGTAAACCTAAAGTAAGCTTCTGTTTTTTTTACTATGTAAATAATAAGATGCTGCTTGAACCGTTATTTTGTTCGCGCAAATCGATTTTACTACATTGCTCATACAACCTTAATACATCCGATGATTGAAAAAGCCTTGTTATATTCAGAAACGTTCCTTCGTAAGGACAATAAGGACGGAAGTTAAAGTGAGTCGGACTATCATGACCGCGCAGTTACTTACGCTCGTCCAGAAATGTTTGAATAGCCAATAGATGCGCAGGTAAGGTCTGAGCAGTCAACTTGCAAGTTCCCAGTTGAATGCAGAGCTATTCGGAAGACAGCTTTTTTATTGTAATATATATATGCTACCTAAGGCCAAATATATAATAAAGACGCTCTAAATTTCAAATGCCTCAGTTTGAATATCGTGTCCGAGATGTCAGTGTTATAATTAACTCGTCATGTTTTCGATATCTTAATTAATGGCACTTTATAAACTAGAGTTATTTAAGGACCAGTGATATCACACAATCGGTATTGTCAGTTTTGGCCCAAATTGTAAAAATTAGCGATTATCGATTATCAAACTAATATCAATCAAATTGATTAAATATGTTTGCATTACATATACAGGCAAACTTTACCTTCCTATTATTCTGTAACGATAGCTTCGGTTTTTCAAGCAATAGAATTGTTAGAAAGTTATAGTAGCGTTCAAGCACAGGAACCTGGAATACGGAAACGTCTGGTATAAAAAAGACTTAACTTGTTCCTGCAATGGCCATCTCAGCGTATGTGCGACAGATGGGCATGTGTGCCTGGTTTAACGGAAAATCAAGAAGTGAAATGCTTCAAAGGAGTTTTCGTTAAATATGCGCGTTCGACTCTATATACCTTCGAACACTTAGCCCGTTAAATGCAACAAGATCTTTAGTGATGCGGATCAAGGAGCTGAAAGCAGTGGGTCATTATTTGGATTTTAGCCCATTTCAGAAAGTCGAGCTCGAACAAAGATATTGTCAGTGCGGGAGTGGAAAGTGTGTTGGGGCTGGGCGAATTGTTCTACTTATATTACCATTTTGTGTAAATATACAACACATGGTAGAAGATAGAATTGCGTACATACATGAAGGTGTTCAAATGATTAGGAATTAGGATTCACAAGTGATAGAACGAGGATAAAGAACAATGTACATATAATTCACTTTGAAACTTTCTGACATACTGCAATACATGAAAGAAATGTACTCATGAGACATTAGTTAGAGAAGAGCTGAACGAGCGCACATGTGCGTGTATAATACAATCGTCCTTTATGTTCGATCTTTATGCCGATGTAACTGTAAAAGGGGAATACTTAAACATGGTTTTGAGTGAGGCACATAACTGGTTACTGGTCAACGTTTTCACGCATAGGACTCGGGTGTAATGTTAGACACTATCCAAAAAGTCTTACGTTTAACGGCTTAGCCTAAAAATGTAATGGTTCGATTGAAAAAAAGGGTATTGTAAATTGACCAGGCCGTGCATGCAGCTGGCTAAATAATTGGTTGGCTGCCATTCCCCTAGTAAAATAAAAAAAAATAATGGAAAGAACATTTTAGAACGTATTTAAGAAGCTCATCGCAACGCGAGGTCTCTTCATCTTCACCCTAAGGAAGACAATATAGAGGAATGAACTAGAAAAGGGCTTGGTCTTTTATGAAGCCCCAGATACGTCAGCCTTCAGACTGATTGAATATTTTCTGGCGGCGCATCGTTGCCGTATTGGTCTGAATCAGCAAAAAAATTGTAGAATCTAGTAGAGAACCGCATCGCTGTTCTCCAGCTGCACCTTGAGCTTATGCAATTTGTAGAGTGTTTACTTCATTCTCGGAATACGTCTGATCTTCTCTAGCCGTAGGACGAGTGAGTACTTTACCACTTCAACGCTTTCCTAACCTAATCCCAAGCGTCTAATGTCGCTATGCGGAAATTTAATAGGAACATTTTTCTGATCCGCCCAATAGCTAACAGGTTCGATAACCCAAGCGGGCTAAATCATTGTTCGTCAGCATTTGCGCCGCGGCCCCATTGTTTCGTCTCACTTTGCTTCATCTACGTTTCTAGATGTTTAGTTAACCTGGAAGTTATCGATGTAAGCTCCGGACTATGGCTTCTCGAAAATTGCGGATGTACTGCACTCATAGCAAAATATCTCTCGAACCTGAAAGCTATAAAAAACAACCTTGAATCAATTAAAAAACTGAACAAACAAACCATATTTTATTTAGATGGATAACAGCATTTACGCGTAAACACAAATAGGATTTACGCTAGCTCACGGTGTTTCACCCGGCAGAGTCACAGGTTCTGCTATTGTCAACTAGTAATCTACTGGCACGTTCCTGTCACGTGCGTACTGAAGCATACGCTGGGCTTTGACAGCATAAAAAACACTTGTCTGTCTACATGGCAACAGGTACGCAATTAACTGTAATAAAGAACAGAGTTATTTCCTCAAGACTCTCCGAATGTCACTGGATTTTTGCCCCCCCCCCCCCGTCTGGTATGTTCACTACCAAAGGGTTTTAAAAACCCAATTGTTTGCCCGGCTTCGTTTCTGGTTGTGGGGCCGGATTCCTCTGGTTTGAGGTCAGAGAGCGCCGAGTTTTGAGAGCATGGACTGATGTGATGACAAACATTTCATTTAATGTCATATTTATTCGATTTTAAATTGCAGCCTCGTCTGAGCACAGCAGACAACGAAACTTGTTGTTTGCTGTCTTTCCCATGTTCCCGACCTTTATCACTGATGTTATCGCTACTATTCGTCTTGCAGAGATGTCAAAGGCGATTGAAGCTGTTGCAATCCAGGACTATTCATCTGACGAAGGCTGGAGCTTCTCGAAGGGCGACCGAGTTGTCGTCTTCGACGTTTCAAATGATTTAGCGAAAGGCGTTCCGCTTCCTTCGAACGCTTCGTTCTGGGTTGGACACAATGGTAATGCAAGTTACCCTCATCAGTGTGAAGCAAACAATATCGCGAACAATACGAATAACCGCGACGCTTCCGCCGTTGGAGGTCACGGGAATAACAACAATCAACTAACCGGAAACGGTGGCCACGCATACAACAACCCTTTGCCCGTCCTCCCAGCGTCGAAAATCCCGCGACGGGTTGTCAATATACCAATAAGCGTTCTACACATCCATGACAACCAAGGTAAGTGGTCATATGCGCGGAGTTTCCGACACAGTACTCCCTCAAGCATTAGCTATAATAAAACTACTGTTGCAGCTTAAGATGATGAATGGAAATCAAGTGGTGGGTGATATCTCTGAATTTCTGAAAGGCTGAGCGGGTTGCTGCAACAGGGATCACAGAACAGGGTGAGTATACATATTGTTAGCGCATGCATTTCGACATATTGGTCAGTTCTTGATCGTGGTGTATAGGGAAAAAATGCTGGTACGCACCAAAACACGTAAATACGCATCCGAATTGCGAACGACGTACTGATAGTGAAAACTGTAACCGAACTCTAGTGAGAACCATTTCATATATTATAGAAAAATCATATTATCACAAGGTATAGGATCGAGCGGGAGTAATTTTGCTTTACTATCAGAAACAAGCAGCTTAATGCGTTCTAATAAACCAAACGAACAGAAGCTGTAACATTTCTAAATTGTCTAATAGAGCATAAATTTCTTAATACGTATGTTTCTTCATAATAACGAAAATTTCGTTTGTGAAGTGGCTAAGCATGCGCGAGAGTTTTATTTAATATTGGCTAGTGCTTTAGCTCAGAAATAATTACTATTAGTATACGAATTATTTTATTTTATTGTACGAAATCAAAATTCTGAAACAAATAAAACGATATTTTGGACAATCTCTATACATTTGCTCGTCACCTCTTACCTCCCTCTCGAGCTCAGCTCTTCTTTTCGTAATCAACAATGTCCCCTTTGATGTCTAGTTGTGAATTTCCAAGGGTATCACTTGGTCGATAACGCTTACTTAATGTATACGTGACGTGAAACGGGTCGGACCAGCTCATTCGAGCCAAATCAGCTCCGCTGAGTATTTCAGATATAGAGTAGAGGAGGAACAAATGTTAACCAGGTTTAATTTGGCCTGACGCATGTAACAGGAAGTTCAGCAGGGGACCGAGTTGCTGATCGAAGCCCAATATCTCGCCCTGGTCCTTTGCATATCGGTGATAACAGGCTACAGTTAACTGTGAGGTTTACCGCCTGACAGAACTGCCTCCTCTCCCAGCAATACGTGAACGATGTAGCCGTCGGTCTCTACTGTGCAGTGAAACTGAGCAAGCTACCATACTGATACTGAAAGATGAAAGCTATCCAAGGGTAGCAATGCTGTCGAAAGAGCAAAATAGACTGTGGCATATACACACCAAGACAACTCGACCGACACCGCTACGACTGCTGGAAACACGTAGCGTTTCGCCTGAAAAAAAGTATTCATATATATCCATAAATATTATATATGTCTATGCTCAGCGTACACTGGGTGGAGTCTATATGGCTTCTATAGTGAAATTAGGCTGTGGCTGCAAAAGTTCTTGAACTTAAAGACAGTACGTGCCGCAATAGTAAATGACTTTTCAAATGTGATAACTGTGTTGTTTCTAATTAATCGCGATCACTGGTTACCCGTTGATTAACTATTAATTAACAAATGCACATTAAAATAACCGGAGTTTTGCAGTGTAAAGTCTAACAATTATTTCAGATAAAAACCTAGCAAAAATAACGTATCTATTACTCAGTACCCCTTTGTTAGCAATAAGATTTACTTCTCGTTATTGCCCTTTGCATTACCAATGTAGCTGATTAGAGTTGTTATCCGGCAGACGAAGCTCTAAAGCAAAAGTTGGCCTTGCTTACAACACTGACAACAACCTATAAAACGACATCAAAAATAAGTAAGCAGGTTCTTTAAGGCTTCGAAGTACCAACTTGAGAGTCTATACGACACATCCAGTGTACTGTCGCTGTTTCCGCATCAACGTTCAATGTTTTTGGCGGGTTGCCTGTCACGTGTTCCGTATTGTCAACACAAACAAACCGATCGATCCAATAAACATGTAGATAAGGCATTTTCGCCATGATCAACCTCTGTTTCGAGCTTCAAGACTGGCATCGTCGTTAGGCGTCAGACGGCTGGCTCCCATACAGCACAAAACGAAGCATTGGGTCTATGTCTGGGCGACCACAACGGGTTCCTAAGATTAGCAGGCAAATGCGTTACCCACTAAGCTTCTTCAAGGACGCCATGGTCAATGTAAACCATCTAAACTTAAACATTAACCTAAAATATTGCTACAGACTTTTCAATGCTTCCACATATCGAACGTTGCTAGCAATCATTCTGACCTTAATTGTGACCAAGGGTAAATTTGTCGTTTGGCGTGTACTACATGTATTAATATGATATAAGTCCTGGGGAATATCCACAAATAATACACCAAAAGACATACGCTATGTCAAAGCTACTGCGTAATATAAGTGAACTTATCTAAGCGTATCTGTGTAAAATCTGAACCATACAATGTTCGATTTGGTTTACCTCACCTTTCTTAACAGTTTCTGAGAAAAGGTAATTTTGAATAGATAATTTTACACAGTTTGTATTAAATCGAGTGATTTTTATGATTAGGATCCAGGCAAGGGATATAGGCCTCGAAAGACATGGGGCTTTTCTATTCAAGTCCCTTTAGAAAGTCCAGTTTAACGTCCATAGTCACCACTATATATTTAGCTTAGTGGAGTTATATTTGAATTTTCCATCTGAAATAGTAATGAGTTCAAAGAGGCCCCTAGGCCTTGTCCTTAGACCGGGCCATTCGTTCTGGTCATTTTAATTGCAGATCCATTAGAGAAGGCCATATTGGCGAACCGGCCTCTATTATGAGTTGTAGAGTTTCATTTATCCAATCAATCGTCAACTGACTTCTATATATTAACAAACCAGTGAAGTATGTTTCGAAGTTTTACTGCCTAGTATAGTCCAAAAATACGCCTATGTTCGCCTAAATGAAAAACACTAATCGTATCTACCTTAAAATGTAAAGCTTTCACAAACTGTACTATCATACTCTTAATCTATAGGGTTCTTCAATTGAGGAAAATTATCACAAGTTTTCGCGCTTGTTAGACTTTCGACTTAGAAACCAATCTGTTATGGATTCGAATCCCAGAGACGATAGTATGAGCGTTTAAGATGCATTGATTAAATAATTTATTGTATGTATTACTAAATGGATAAGATCCACAACCGTTTATTACTCATCGGGACAACTGCACAATGGCTCATCACTGATAGATCATATACAAGACCTTAAGTAATGCGAGTGCTTTATACTCTAAAAATTCGGTTGCCAGTTTCTACTCTTGAAAAGCAAAGATTTTGACGTTCGTTCTCCAAACCGGCTTTACATGCTGCGTCGGGGCTTTTTAGCCAACGCGCTTAGCCCACAGATTTGCAAAGAGACATTTCTAGTTTCCAAGGCCAGCATGAATGGCAGTCCTGTCCCACCAATGTCAGAAAAATTCGAAATCTGGCGCCAGAATCGATTACACTGGCAGTAACCTACGGGTGTCCATTTTAGTTACGAGCTTGTGATCGAATAATCGAATATAATGATAATAATAATAATGAAGAACACTCAAACATCGACGCTTTGGCCAGGGGATAAGTTGTCGGTAATTGTTACATATTCAAGAATTAATCATCGAGAAAAACATATCTTTGTTAAACACTGTTTTGCTATGTACACTATGAATGTCGTTATATCTAACATCGATATATTGCATGTGCAAATCTACACCATGATTAGAAGTCATAACCGTAAAAGACAACACCGCAATCAGCGCTTCCGTTGAAACCGACCACCTTCCTCCACATTGGCACGTGACAGTTTCCACGTGATACTGATAGAACGCTTCCTAGCCATATGTTCTCACCCGTATATATACAGTTTAAATGTCTCCCTCCCCTTAGCCTCTTCCCAGCCAAACGTCTTCTTCGTAGCACGTTTTTCCCTTTTCTAACTATGCTTACTCTAGTGACTACAGCTGCGGCTGCCGAATCAAAATTTCGCGCGCTTCCATCATTCAATCGTCCGCTAGCGCGCTGATCTCTCAGTTCCTACCCACTAGCATGCTGCTGCTGTTATTTCTATCCATAACTGAGCCTTGCTACTCACACCCACATCTCGTCGGATCGCGGCAACAGTTCTCACTCTTGCCGTCGAGGGCGCCACAAGCGCGGGGCTGAGCACTGCCGGTGCAACATGTGAGATGGCGCTAGTGTCGTCTCGTCGATTAGCGTTTCGCGGCAAGATCTAGCGCGGGCGCTTTTTGTTGGCCGCTCTCTGTCCTCGCGAGATCGAGACGATGGAAACGGAACGTTACGCACGCTCAGTTACGTTTATCGTGTCCCTGAACGAAACAGAACAGCGACTAGCCTCAACAGAAAGCCTCTACTTCTACTGCAGCCACTTCTACAGATGCTGCTGCCAACAAGCGCCTACAGCTGGTCCTGCTTGAGCAACGGCAAGGACGCGCGCTTAAATGTTACTCTGTTAGAAAGAAAAGGGTGGCAAACGACAGACGACAGTAAAAGTAGTTGCTGTCATTACTGACACTGAGCGTCCCTGCCGATGCTGTTAACTTTCACCAATCGACAATGCATTTGATTGGGTCGATCTCCTCTACCGGAGTTCTTTACCGCTGTGTTCTTTCCTCGGACCGGCAGCTGTAGCGGCGGCTGCAGCTCGAGCAGTAGAGGCTTAAGAACTGTCAGTGGACACTGTTGTGTCTGATAGCGTTCACTCTGGCAAATCGTACAGGTACATTGTTAATCGTAATATGTCTGTAAATGTTATTTTGATGGTAGCAAACGACTGTCTATTTAGCTGACGACGGACCGCAGTATAAAGATAATAGACATAGACGAAGTTAATAAGATAGACGAAATAACATAGACAAAGAAGACGTCAGCAGCAACGCAACGTCTCTTGGGTGCATCTTGTTTATTTTATATACGAATTTTAATTAGATGTTTCTATATGGGTGCCTTTATTTATGAGTAGATATCGGTGTCCTTCTCGGTTATTGTCGATGTGCTGATCCAATCCCAGACACGTGAACGTAGTCAGATCGCCAACGGCGGCGGCAGCCAATGAAACGACAGATACGACACGGCGGCAGTAAAACAACGACAGCAGTAGCTGCAGGAGTTCTGAAACATCAACAGTTTTGATCAGCAGCCCTTACTGCCTACGAGCTCCCTCTCCAACTTTCTCGGGGAGGAGCAGCTCAGACACACACACAACAAGCAGTGTTGCTTCTGTTGTTGCAGAAGACGACAACATCGACCAGAACGTAAGAACACGGAAAGAAGTCAATCGAGAAACCAACAGACCGACCGACGTCTGATCTAGCACAGGGCTGCTGTTGTTACAAGCGGAACTGCAACTAATAACTGAAGTTCTCGGAACCATTAATAGCCGTGGTGGCACCAACCACTCAGGGTCTATCTAAGGCAAGACATTTCTGATTGTCTCTGATCGACAGTGATTCGTGCGCTTCGATTAACATGCTCCAGTGTGTTTGCATGCAGAAAACTTAACTAGCTGTCGAAGAAAGTTGCTAACAACAAATGCAGCGAAAACTTCACAGTAGTTTATAGAGCGGTTCGTTATATTTTCGTGTCCTTCGGGAGTGGTACATATGAAATATGGTAGGTGAATCAACGGCAAAACTTCCTACCTTGTGTTAGATGTGGTTGACACTGAAAGATTGATTTCGATGATAGAACTTCTTGGGCGGACTAAGCTGGGTCACAGCTTGTGTGTGAAGTTATTGTTGACATACTGTAGTAACAACATGGATACGAGTGAACCAACAAGATGTTGAGTTCAAATACGTAAATAGTGGTGATGAAAGCTAACACGGAAAAGTACGGATTTCTTTCGCTTGGGCGTCATTGATTGTCAGCCTGCCATCGGCGTAGCTAGTGCTTAGTCTATCTGCTCGTTCGATATGCTTTAATGCTGTGTCTTCTAAAGCATCAAAAGATAGATATCATCGCGCGCTGTGAGATAAGCAAGCAAACCTAGATAACACGACAAAGACAGATCAAATCTTACAAATGAAGAGATATCATCTGAATCGATCTACCATACCGTGCTGATCGATGCCTTTGAGTGTGTCCAACCCTGTGCTGTGCTCACCATTTAAATAAGTTCATCCAAGTACGTACGTATATTCCGTGCCGTGTTTTGACACTTGAAACCTTTGGATAGCGACAATAAGAGTTGATCTGTCAACAGAGAATAAACCCTTTGGCGACTTTCAACCAGCGCCGAAAAAGATCCTGTGAAGAGAATCTTCATGTGAACAGCGACCAATTGCAACTTGATGCTGCCACCCTAATCGCTCAAGCTGTGACAGCGCCAGATTTCGAGAATGCCTCGAAAAGTTTATGGTAGGTTTATATTATTGTTTATACTTACAAAGTATCTGTTTAGAGTGCACACTTAATCATTGCTTAATAAAGCATCATTAACAGCAAAGTAGAGGCAGTATACTGGAACAACATGCGCCGCGATCGACAGTCCTATTATGAAGTTTGTTGTATTATCGCTTCACGTAAGACAGCGACAGGCCGTAGCAGTATAAGCAGGAGAGTTGGGTGCCTGTTTTTTCACTCAGTTACGTTGGCTAGACGGTGGCCAACAGTTTAGGCGTGGTCAGTGCTATCGTTTGTGTAAAGCAAGACAGCGTAGGAAACCGGGCTCACAATTAGTTTTTATACGACAATTAGTTTTAATACGAAGCGAACGGATAGCATGGCACGTGCGCGATTTTGAAACTTTACTGCGATTTGAAAGTCTTTTTGAAAACGTCGGAATTTAATTGATTATTGCGATACTTTCCCAGTTGTGCGTCTTTATTACTCTATCGTCATGTTAGGAAGTTGCGTGTACCGAAAAAATGCACAGGAAATTTGAAATTGAAGTGGCGGGCATTTTTTTAGTGCTAGTGGTAACATAGCTTTTTAGTTGAATGTAACTTGCTACCTAAAAGTATAACGAATCTTTTTGAATATTTAAATTTGCTGATGAATAAGCGCCGCAAAAGCTAGACGGCCTGATACGACTGACCGGCCATTATCAAAGAACAATTCAATATCAGCATGGTTTTTCCTAATTCATTTTCAATCAATGTTTATTAGTATCTAGTATCTTCACTGAAAACAAATTCGAAAGAATGTATAGACATGTCGTTGAAGGACTAGGCCAAAAAGTCATCAGACCAGATCCCTACTTCTGTAGGATCAAACATCGATGCGTAGGTTCCTTCTTAGTTGAAATTTGTGAAAGCCGAGCCCAGAGTCTCCAGGTGGCCGGTTGAAATGCTGAACCATCTTCAGATCCTTTTGGTTGAAACAGGTTGTCGCCCTTATGGACGATAAGATTGCATCTTCTAGGTCCGGCCTTCGCTGAACGAGCATTTGCTTTCTGCGAATTCTTAAGGCTCCAACGGTGGCAGTATTATTGTGCCTGGACACGTCGAACGCCTAAAAAACGCCTGATAGGATGATAGTTGTCCGATTATTACTGGAGAGTGGCGGTGTTATGTCGCAATCGACGTTGGTGAAACCTTAAATCATCATATCTGTGAATTTAAAGGATTTTTTATTTTATTTTATTTTAGTGCTTCTGATGTGACAGTGGTTAAGTGTGACCGTATACGAACGAACGAAATAGTTCAGACGGACCACGTGCTTAGTCTTCATTATTTGAATGTCCAGAACAGCAGTGCTTATACCTACAAAACTAATAAAAACACAGTAGGCGCATTACTCTATTATGGATGAACTGTAAATAACCTGAACGCCGTATGCAGTCACCATAAATTTTTCATTTTCCGAGCAATATCAATCAACTAACTACCAAAAAAATACAAGTAAATATGTGATTACATAAATCAATTGTAGCAATATTTTTTTAAAGTCGTGGCTTTTCTATCGATTGCCTGTATCCGTTTTCTGATTAATGTTGGTATAATTAATCTTATCATATTTTTAGTATCGATAATGAGCCAGTTCTAATCAAATATAGTTTGATAGCTCGCAGGCCGTCATATTTTCAGTAACATCGACTGTGGAAGCCATGCTAAGCAATGGGTATCTCAACTTAATTATCACAACGATGTTAGATGACGAATACGGTAGAGGCAGAGCCTACGTGACATTCGGAACAGATTTCGCCTATGACTATTTCCAACTGCGTTTTCAAGTGTTGCTCTACCCGTAGCGTTCCAAACATGGGACATTGTTTTCCATGGACCTTGAGAAACAGGCGCATTACAAGAATTAATTGGGCGTGGATTCATTGCTGAAGCTGAATTTCATTTTGTCTGAGAGTCGAGATGCCGAGGGACGAGAGTTGCCAACCTGATTGTGGTCTGCGTAATGTTAACCATCAGTATTCAAATTCGAATAGCCCTCTTGCTTTAAATACGCCGGCATATTGATTTGAAGTGTCGATGTTCATATATCTATGTGAGTAATAAACGTACTGTTTCATTATTTTTGTATCACCTGTAGATGGTATTGAAATGGCAGCCAAATACACACATTTGCTGACTCGTTCGCCCATATCTTCATTTTGGCTGCGGTTTGTTGTTTAATTCGAAACTCCTTCCTCCCCTAAATTCGATCACGCCCCAATGAAATATAAAAGTACTATTTTATTCACTCAAGGATATCACCAACAGTTATAGTAGTACAAGTTAGAGTAACTTTCGTTAGTGATAGCTGTTAAAACATAGTTGTAACAATACATGGTATTCGGGACAGACCAACGTTAAACAGCAGTAACATACATCATTAACGTTTTTTTTCTCGGTAGCCTAAGTTACCGATATTTATAGGATACTACGGCATATTATGAACCCCGACCACTCATGGCAAGTGGCTCGCCGTTGGAGATCTACTGACACCGAGTAGCGTAAACATCCAGTAGGATGTGATAGTAATTTAGAAGAAACAATAAAGCTATACTTGGGCGTGTTTCGCGTAACCGAGCTAGAAGAGACACTAACGAGACGCTAGAGGCGACGACGGGGTGTGCGTATCAGATCAAGACGAACAGGCCTTATATTGCATTACCTATATATTAGCAATACTGTGGAAGGATTGTTGAAGTGATGATTTTGCTTTAGAAAAACACCATTTCTTTGGTTATACATTCAGTGTTATGGAACTAAAGGAGACGACGAGCCTCATCGTTTGAATGAATGGTCGCATAAGCTTTGGCTAGTGAGAGATTTATCTTCGTGGCAACAAAGCAGCACTTTAATCTAGCATATTTTGGTTAATACTTGGATATTCAATCCTGTAGCAGTTAGGTGTTCTTTAAACCAATATATATATATACATTTTTTTTTTGACACAGTTTACAGGCTCGTTTCGTGGGAAAGCCTCGAACTTTTATCAACAATAGTCGTTCATTGTTAATCGTTGCAATTTAGTATAATCGTTAGGAGTAGAACATCTTTTGGCCGAAAACAAGTGAACGAGATATTCGATCTACAAATGTGGTTATGATACATTTGACATAAATTTTTGGAGGTCGTAATTGAACCGTGTCTCACATATAACGATTGTTGATATCGGAAAAATATTTTCTTCCGAACAGACGCGTATCTACAGAAATCCGTTTGCAAAAAAACAGCTTTACCCTACGCAGCATTGTGTGCCTATGGAGACGTAGTTCCTTTTTGGAGCATTCGTTCTAAGTGGATCCTATTCGATAATATTATCACAATCTGTATATCCTAGCACATGTGGTGAATGATAAGATCATCTGCGCGTGTACTTTGTTAACGAAGCTAATGCTTGCATCCTTCCAGCAGTGTGCGATGATGGAGGCCGGTGAAACTATTAGGACTCGATGCGAACAATGCTACCCTGCGCTCATCAGGCGTTTTGTCGCACAAAGCGACTGCAGCCTAACGCAGATGCGTCGTACTGCCTGTGAAGGTTTATCAGAAACATTATCAGTGGAAAGCGGAAGTGTGAGACGAAAGGAGGTTAACCTTTGTGCCCTCCACGACTCCTTGAATTGGTGGCGGAGTCTAAAGGTGCATGTTTTTGAGACAACTAGCTCATTATACTGATAACTCATAAAATAGGTGCTTTCAAACATCGATATCGGCTTTGTAGCCGTCGTCGACCCTATATTATGTTCGTAACTAAATATGTGCACATACTGTTACTTTTCATTACAGCGTTGAACACAATTATTTCGATACATTTGTCCATTACTATGAAATTAAGGCTAATAGCATTATAGCGGTAGTGCTGCTTTTAAAATCTCCCGTTGCCATATATTTACCAGTTTGAATAAAAGTGTCAAAGTAATAATAAGAATAGTGAAAAAGTGCTATGTTCTACTACCGCTAGGTGCGATTGAATAACAAAAAATATACGGTACAAATATAAAATAAAGGCTTTCTCTAAGTTGACTAAATGACTGTTTTCTTGAGTAGAGGAACTCCTTGGAGTCCTCCATTTCATCCTTTACGGTTTGGCGTCTCTCCATGTTTTTGATATGGTCGTTTATCTCTGCCCGTGTCCCCTACCTCCATTTCGAACTGTTAACACCACTACTCGGCTGTCGTGGACCAGTCGAAAGACGGCTCGTATCTCTTAACTCTGCTGGAACAGGCACTTTATTGTAATTGTGCCGCGAACGAAAGGAAGGCGCTCTGCAAACTGTTCGACTGTATTGTGACACCAGTCGTGTCGCGATCGTATGAAAAAGCCATCGCTAGAAGACGATATCTGCCACTCGTCACTGGGTGGGTTGGGTCACTTGTATCACTGGGCAGTCGCGTTATACCGCAATTTTCTTCGCGTTATGAGCCGCCTTTCCCGTGTTAGAGATACTCTCTAACACGGGAAAGGCGGCTCATAATAGCAGATAAATGCAGATTTTTCGCGGTTTCGACCTGACGTTAGTCACTATTGTATTCTAAAAAGTTGACGGAGATCGACACTGTCGGAACCTGTGCTTTCGACTCTTCGTTTTCTAGACAATAAAGGTTATACGACATTCGGGAAAACTCCTTATGGGGAATAATGTTGCAGAATGATTTTCTACTATTGATTATTTCAGTGCACGAATGTGTTTACGCGTCGTATCAGCAGTTTATCAAGTGGTACCTTTCCCGCTCATTTGGAATTTCATGAGAATGCAGCATCGGGCAGTCTATGGGGACAGCGACAGTAATGCGTTCTTGTCACCACTAGTTGTCAGCGCCGGGGTCGTTTTTACAACGCATTCACATGTTAAAACTCATTAAAATGTATGTGTTCACATGTAAAAACCCATTATAGCACAGTTTTCTATAAACTTTGTGAGATTTGCGCGCATATATATATATATATATATATATATATATATTGAATGACGTCACTTGGACACGAGATTTCAGCTCGGGCGCTGTGCGCCCTATGGTCTGAACATCGTAACAGTTTAACTAAACTAGTGTTATATATATATCAAGATAATTCAAATAACATAACCTTTACGCAGAAGGAAACAGACAAGTAGACGGGCTGGGGGGTCTTTGGGTCGTTTTGTGTGTGACTGAGTGACAAACGAAAACAAGATTCAGCGGAAGCATATACAATCCAATCGTCTCATAGGTATTAGCCGTCTTTTTATTTAGCTGCGAATGTTTTGTCTCCAACAGACGAAGAAGTTGTCAACAACTCATACGTTACCCCCACGCGTTCATCACTCAACAGTAGGCTTCGTCCGAAGAGGACTTATCAATGATTATTGTCAGCTGTATGTAGTGCTACTCTCGCCGGGCTACAGTAAACAGAGGTTGATACAATTCTCATCTCGTGAAGATCAATACTTTTGTCGTTTTCACCAATCAGTTTCGTTTCGTTATCTTATTTGCTTAAATGCAAAATAACAAAGTCCATAAGCGCTTCCGCTATGTTGTATTAAACCTGCTCATAGTAATCTTCTTACCAGAGCTATCTGTATTTGACCAAGCAATTGCTAGAGGACGCTTACCTCTAGGACTATTTGGGCTCGAAAAACAGCAGTGCGCCGCTCTGATCAAGATCTCTTACGTTGGCCTTGCGTTGCTTGAGCGTTGATTTCACGACACATTGCCTTAATCATTGGAAGGAATGTGCGCACCAAGGCACCTCAGAATCCTTTCTGGGAAAGCACCGTTTCAGGCATTCGCTCTGAGAGAACCTCCGATAGCCTCCTACGGTTATTGTATGGGAATATGGCGGCACTGGCTAATCTCCCGTAATTACTGAAGGCAAGCATTGATTGAATTCGTGTGTGGGGGAGTTATAGATTTTGTCGATAGTACGTGACAACGGTATGTAGGATAATGCTGCGTATTCGGTGAGACTTAAAAATAATGACAGGTGCAGCTCATGTTTCTCATTAGATAGTACTATGACACTGTAACCTGTGCAACAAATGAACTAAATGGTGAAGAGACTGGCCAAAGAAATGCTGTTTTTGTGAAGAATATTGGGCTACGACCTTACCGTCATCTTGGTAACATGATTGTTAATTAAAAGAGATGGATACATATATGGGCAGAGAAGATACTGGCCCTACCATAAAAGCTTAGGAAAATGTCTCATATTGTGAACGAACTACAGAGCACCATATATTGACTTATTAGTAACTATAGACCGTTTATTGATGTCCAGCATTCTTCTGTCCGGATCCGGAGGACAGTTATCTTATCGAATTTTAGACATCGTCATCTGGTCATATGCTAGTAAGATATATATTCTGAGATATTATATCTTACTAATATATTACAATCGATACCATTACGAATTGCAATTTTAAATTTCACATAAACGTTTCTCTCATAACATTGAAGATAGCTAGTTTGATAACCTCTTTATCAGCACTGTCGCCCAAAACATGCACTATCCTTTCATAGTACAATACGGCCCGTAACCACTTCCTATGAAACTATTCGATCACGTTACGCTTACCGCTGCCGTTAAATACGCGCAGCATCAGCGTCCACCCGTCCTGTCGTACAATATTTAAGTCTCCAGTCATATGTGTTGGTATTCGTAGCACTCTGGCTACGTTTAAACGGCATAGTGGGCGGCATTTGACTGGTACGACGGTTTTTAGCATAATACTAATAGAAATCCGGTCTGCGTGTACGATACCGTCGCGATACGGCTCTGCCACGCAACTTGTTGAACTTACGAAGGATTTATAGCACACGGATCGATTTCGTAGTTGTATTGAAACAAACCGGCAACCGGCGTAGCCTCTTCGATGACCTTAGTTTACAAACGCGCAAACCCGATCAGACGCTGTTACAACAAAAAACACAACACCAGTCGGGACCAGTTGGAATCGTCGCGCAATTTATGCGAAACTGGCATCGTGCCTGTTAAATAAAAAGCCATCAGTAGGAAGACCAACAGCATAAGACACAGAAGCAGACGTCGCGGCAGCGACTTGAAGCGCTTGAAGATTGCCCCGTTTATCAGACTTCTTCACGAGGATCTTTAGCAGCGTCCGCATAGTCCATGTTATTCCTATTAATCGCATGCGTTCGTTTTCGAAAAAGAACGAGGAACGACTAGGAAGAAATTTAAAGCGATTTATGGTCAATGGTAAACTGCTATTTCTGCTTCCACTGCCGCTTTCGGCGGTAACAATGATTCGGCTCGATCGAACGAGTTGTTGACGCTCAGATTGGCGATTGTACACGGCAGCGGCGGACAACAACGCTGTGGATGGCTGAACTGCCAGATTCGTCACTACTGGCCACAAAAACATAATCGGACATATAGATATTATAAGTTGGCCGAATGTTGGCCTGCGAGTGATTCCTATTATTGTTGTTGTTAGAGGTGGTCGTGTTGCTACGGACTATACAACGAGTATTGGAAAGTGCGCAGATGAGATATAAAAAAAAATCGAAAAAGTATAATTTGTACCACCTGAAAGATAAAGTGATCCGAGGTTGGGTTATTTGAATTATTAGCTAGTGAATGTAATGCTGTTGCTTAAGGTCCAATCGAGAGTATCTGCCGATGTATGCTATATTGTATAGCTATACCATAGAACAGTTTCAATGTAACGTATCCTACATAGAACGAATTTGCTGGGAATGAATACGGTGCCCTGCAGGATCTACTCGTTCTCATCGCTTGCACCCAGTCTCGAGTTTACGATTCCACACCATTGTTATGTTGACATGTATATATCCAACTGAACTCCCTGGTCCCAAATGATAGTACGTATTGTCATACTGTAGCGCCATTAACGGTTTGATGCTAACTGAGCATAGCTAAAGACTCTTTAAGGTAGGCGAAACTGATCTCATCACCTAAATAGCAATACTGAATAGGCGTGCACGGATGTTACCTCAACATAAATAAGCCTGTATATAAGAAAGGTCAGGACCGCCGGGACATTCTGCCACAGTACTACCTTACTAACTTCAGTGGACTCTTTTATTCCGATTGGTGTGGGATGGACTAATTTTTCACAGCGACGTAATATTTTCTACAGAGTCGTTATGATTTGATGTCTGTGCAGCCTGATTGGAGCGGCAGATCGAGGCAAAAGTGCCTATTCATCTTTTTGCTTATACCGAACTTTTCTCTGTCGACCTAGCATTGATCTATATTTACCATAGCGATTCCATCCAAAAACTATACGTAATAGATTACTAAAACAGAAGCGGAAATACCGCATCGCCTATGGCTATTAGCCGGCAGAGATATGGCACGTGCGTAATTTCATCTGAAAGTTTCTCTTTTTGACAAGATAGACAAGCCAGCTCAAGGTAGTAGGCAAGAACATTGCGCCAACGGCAGTTAACAACGGTTCCAAAATCAATCCCGAGTCCAAGCGAGGAAACTTGTTTGAAGCCATTTTTACAGGACGTACGAAACGGAACGACAAAGCTTTTTAGCAGCTCTGATTCGACCCATTGTTCTAATGATCAGAACGAGTACATTCGAAAGCAGAGGTACAGCTTGGAACAGAAACCGATGGTGGCAGGCGAATATTAATTAAGTCATGCAACTGGTACGGTAATCAACTGACGTAACCAAAAATGACTACCTCAAATTTACAGAACAGAACGAGGCCGATGATAACGGCGATGTTGATGGTAATATAAATAAGTCCTGATCGTATCGAACCTTACAATGTCGCGTCGTCATTTGAAGTAGCTGCTGGACCTTGGTGACTTTGACACGTGACATGCGGTCGCCAGTCACCAGCTGATGATTACCAGTATATCTTGGGTATATTTGCAAGGTGAACAGTTTTTTTATAAATTTTAGTACAGCGTACCTGCGTATATATATATTTCCTCGCATACATTTGATGGACAGTGCATCAAATATGTTAAACATCGAAAAATGATGGACAGACAGATC